TCCGCCCTGTTGCCGCGGAGAGAATTTCGTCTCGCTCTTGTGCGGAACATGCTGGAAGGGGTCCACTTCGCCCTCAACGGCCCAGGGGTCGAACCCCTGCCGTTTCATTGGAGATACCTCGATTAGAGGAGCTCAAACCACATAACTGGCGGTTGATTTCGACGAAGAACCATCATCTTGGTCCGCAACCTGGGGACCAGCACACCAGCATGGCAAGAGAAGTGTGAATAATTATTCAGGTGGAGCTGTGGGCAAACTGTGGCAAACAGTTATAGCATCTGTCGTCGAACCTGGAAATGGACAAATAAACTATTTTTCCGTCTCCTGGATCTGAAGAGTTACATCCTGTTGTCACAAAGAGAATTTCGTCTCGCTCTTGTGCGGAACATGCTGGAAGGGGTCCACCTCGCCATCAACGGCCCAGGGGTCGAACCCCTGCCGTTTTATCGGAGATATCTCGATTATAGGAGGCCAAACCACATCACTGGTCGACTTCCTCTACTTCGCAATTGAGGTGTCGTGTGTGCTTCTTGCGTGGAAAACGAAGAACCGTCTGGACAAAGTGCGTGAAGTGCGACGTCGGACACTGGATTTCCGGATGTTTCCAAGATTTCCACATGAAGCCAACATTCCGTTAGACGGCGCAGGTGGGAAGAGAGACAACTTATAAAGCTGGTGACCAAAAATCATGTAAGTAGAAAAAGAATTTATAACTTAAAATTAGATTTTAAAAAGCCGGCCGCACGCGTGGACTGCGCGATGACATATGGCGTCATTCGTCCCCTTGACTTTATTTTCATGACGCCATATGGAGTCGCTCGGCTCTTAAAGGTTAAGTACCAAGTGGCATAATAAACTACATGTTTCCTTTGTGAGATTATCTTCCATTCAAAAGAGTGTGCATTTTTCATCCATTAGAATATTTAATAACTTGCCATACAATGTATGTTCTTTGAAAGACAATATTAATACTTTTAAATAAAGGCTAAAAGATTATCTAATTTTAAATGCATTTTATTCGGTAGTTGAATACATGGCATAGAGGCAAGCATAATACATTATTGTTGTCTTTCCAAGATTATGTATTATCTAGATTTGTTATATGACTGCTTTCTATTTTATTATTGTATTTTCATTTTATAATTCCTGAATATTTTAATTGTTGAGACTAGATTGCATTTTGCAATGTCATCTTGCTGACGAATTCAATATCCGGTCCGGTTTCCGGACAGTGGATCTGTGAAATTATGTATCTATGTATGTATGTATGTATGCATGTATGTAACCTAGACTGTCTTTGGCAGATATTTTGATATTCTATCTAATAGTTTCCTGTCTGAGTTTTTCAAAGATGTAAACCTATTTGTGATTTCAACATGATACTGCTCTTTACCCTCAACCTTGTTTAATTTAATGAGATTGAACCACTCCATATGAGGTTGCGCCATAGCTCAAGCGGTTAGTTGCTGGCTTCCCACCGTGGCAGCCCGGGTTAAATTCCGTGTCTGGTCAAGTGGGATTTGTGGTGGACAAAGTGGCACTGGGGCGGGTTTTCTCCGAGTACTTTGGTTTCCCCTGCCAATCTTCATTCCACCAAATTCTCCATCATCACCCGGGTCAGGCTACAATAGGCCAATCAGTGGCCACAATGCCGANTTTTGCACCCCCCCCGCCACTAAGCGAATTTAAAAATTTTAATTTTTTAACCTCTCTATATGAACTCTGCATTATTTGTTAATGACTGCCAGTCTCTCTGTAACTTTTGCCATCATCATATGGTGGTCATTATCACAAGCTGCTGCACTGAATGATCGGACATTAGTTGTTGCCAGAAAGGGACTCAGAAAGAAAGGCATCTGCCACTGGTTGCTGTACAGTAGAATACTGAACAATGATTATGAATCTTATAAATACCTTTCTTCTCTCTGACAATGTGCAAACACTGAAACCAATTTTATTTCTGACCATTCACCCCAGCAGTATACTCCTTTTTCTTACGTTTTAGGACTCATCACATGTCTGACAATAGTGATACACCCTGTGGGGAGCCGCCCCCACTACCTCCCAAGCGCCGTAACCGTTCACTGCACAACCACCAGTCAGAACTTGATGCCTCAGTACATGAGGATAGTGCTGCCAGCATGACAGACACACTCAACAGCAGCAGCAACACAAGTGGGGGCGGTCATATGTCAGGACTTGTGGCCAATTTTGATCGTGTCAGCCTGCGCAGTAAGTCTCCTGAGGACACCTCGTCATTATTGAGTGCGTCTGCTGGCAGCTTGGACTCAGTGTTGAATCACTCACGTGAGGAGGAAGAGATACAGGCGCTGATGGACCCTGCAGAAGATTCTGTGTTCCCCAGCGACAACATCTTGACACACGGTGAATGCAGCATGCAGTAGGTCATGTTATTGTCATATTTTGAGTGACATGGCTCAACAAGTGTCTCTCTTTGTGCAGGCCCTGCAATGATTCTGAACAGCGGCTCGTCATGTTGCTGCTGGGACAGTTCCTCAAGCACAACATCCACTGAGCAGATGTCCAACACTGACAAAAATCCTGCATCTGCATCTGTTCTCCTTTCTCAGCATCCTGACATGCAGCAGTTGGACTCAACCAGAAAGTCACCTCTGTTCAGCACGGATCTGCCTCCTATTGCCCCCGGCACAGTCCTAGGTAATCAAGTCACACAGATCAGTGTTTATATGAGCTCTTTTGTTGTGTAAGTTATTAAGGGGGATGTAGTATCTTAATGGTTTCGCTTTGAAAATGTGTGTGTGTTGTATTGAAGGCTCAGCTTTCAACTAGCATCGGCATTTGTTAGTCAGAGTCGTATTTGAAAATAGTGGATACCATGAAGGCAGTTGCAGCCATGTTATCATTATCAAAAGTTGGGTTTTACAGCAGTATTATCCCAGTGCTACTTTCAGACTCCAAAAATTGTGTAAAAGAAGAAAAGGCCTGGACCAAAACAGAGATCAACAACATGTTATTTGTAATCAGTGTGTTAACACATTGCAGACCGGAGGGGCCATATGGCCCTCTACGTTTCCAAGCATTGCGGACCAGTTGGGCCATATGGCCCTCTACGGTCACGTTATGTTGCAAAACGCTATATATTGCCGTGTGGCTTTGTTGAATCGTAACTACTGCGTAGATGACCTTGGGAATGATTGCTGCCTTATCTAGTAACTCGACTAGAGTCATTTCCTGTCACAACCTAAACAAAATTGGCTTTGTTCTAATCCAAGCTTGCACGTATGAACCACGCAGCTACCAGTTCAACATGGCTCAGAGACGAAAGCAGTTTCGATCTCTCGGAGGACAGGAAATATTAGATATGTTCTCCGATGAGCTATCAGATTTGCCAACTGCTTCGTCTTCTGATAGCGAGGCCATTATCAGTGACAGTGACAGTGACAGTGACGGGGGCCACAGGGCTGGCCAAAATGTGTCAAGTGAAAGTGAGAGCTCCGTTGAAATTGCGAATGTCGGGACAGCTACATGGGATTAAGTGGACAAAACCCCCACTTTGGGAAAGTTTACTGGTGATCCGGGGGTGAAGCAGATGCCATTGGACCCAATGGACGTGTCTGAAGTTGCGTTACTGTTTTTTGGAGATAGTTTCTTTTACCTGTTGTGTCAGGAAACTAACAGATAGTATCTCCAACACTGTGAGGCGTACGACAGAACCAATAAGGTTTTGAAGTAGGTGGATGTCTCTTCAACAGAAATGAAAAATTTTTTGGCTATAATCATTCTAATGGGGCTTACGAAGAGAGAAGGTTTGAAGGATTATTGGTCAAGTGACCCATTTTTAGAAATTGCAATTTTCGGCAAACTCATGAGTCGTAAGAGATTTGAACAGATATGGTGGTGTTTGCATTTCAACAATAATGAAGTGCAACCACAACCAACGGGCAGGCTTTTCAAAATTCAGCCCTTATTAGACATTTTGGTTGAAAAATTTCAGACAGTTTATAAGCCAGAGCAACAACTGTCTTTGGACGAATCTGTGATTCCTTGGAGAGGAAGGCTTCGTATTCGAACGTATAATCCTGGGAAGCTCACAAAGTATGGCCTACTTGTTCGTGTTGTCACGGAAAGCACTTCAGGCTATATAGGAAATTTAGAAATTTATTCTGCTGAAGGCAAGAAATTGCAAGAAACTATTGTTTCTGTTTTGGGTCCCTATCTCGATCAAAATTATCACGTGTATCAAGATAATTATTACAACAGTGTGGCAACTGCAGAATACCTACTTTCAAGGAAAGTACGTATTTGTGGTACAATTAGGGTGAACAGAGGCCTCCCTCCAGATCTGAAAGAGGAATGTAAACGCCTGAAATGTGGCGACACCGCATTCTGGAGGAAGGGGGACATTCTTCTTCAGTCCTGGAGGGATACTCGCGTTGTGAATATGGTTTCCACTATTCACAATTCGAGCATGGTCGATGTTCAAAGACGACACGGGCAAGTAAAGAAGCCTCTTTGTATTTCCGAGTATAATATGTTCATGAAAGGAGTTGATAGGGCCGACCAGTTCTTGGCCTATTATTCCCTTCCTAGGAAAACAGCAAAATGGACGAAGAAAGTTGCACTGCGGCTTATAAACTGTGCAATTTTCAATTCATTTACGGTTTTCAAAAAGGTGAACGGAAATTCTACTTTGAAATACAAAGCATTTCTGTTGAAACTGGCAAAAGCTTGGGCTACTGACGTCACGGTGGCGGCAGTACCTATGTCAGACACAGACGTAGTGCAGCCGGGGCCATCTGTTCACACCCGCCGGAGGCCTCAAGTAGAGCCCCCCTGGCCGACTCTCGGGTGATATACGGAAATATATTCTCGTGAAAATTGTGAAGAGTGAATATTGCAAGAAGAAACACCCTTCTAGGCAGTGCCGTGTGTGCGCAGAGCACAAGAAGAAGAGTAGAACTGCCTACATGTGCAACTTCTGCGTAATGCCTCTTCACAAAGGGGAATGTTTCCAGAGATATCACACGCGAAAGCACTTCTAGGAGCTCTGATAAGTGTTCTCCAAAGATTTCAGTTCATAAAATTAATTAGGAGATTTTATATTAATTTTTAAAGTGAACAGTGCACAAGTTAGGGTAGTAGGTTTAAAAACGCCGGTCCCAAGGGTGATTTAAATGTTTAAACCACTGGTCCGCAATGTGTTAATGGAGTTCTGTTTTCTGGTACTGTATAATATTGTGTAATACATTGAAGGTCGACCAACATGGTTGGATTATGTTGCCTCTGGTTGCTTCTTGCTGGTTTCTTGTTTACTTACTCTTCAACCCTTAAGTTGTAGATGGTGTGTTCCTTCAGAACATCCTCAGTTGAGTTTCAACAGACTACACCAGTGTTCCGCAACCGGTGTGCCGTCACAAGGTGAAAGGTGTGACACGAACTTTTACCTATTGTAAGAAATTAAATGTCAAATTTTATTCGTTTTATTTTATCCCAGTTACCATGTTTCATATGCTTGTATTTCATTCTCAGTCACTGTACTGATTAAATAAGATGATGCTTGTCTATTCTTTATTACATGCTGTGATTTTTTATGTACAGTAATGTTGTATTCTAAGAAATTAAACATAAATGATCTACTCACAGTTGTTGTTATATCATAGTTTTCATTATTGATTTATTTTTATTTTTCTCGCATCTACGCGGCTTCTTTGATATACTTGCCGCATGTTCTGTGTACGTGCTTCTCCCTAAAACTGCAGGGATTATAAAGGGTTTTCCTGAATTTTCTTGACATATTCGGTGACTTTGAAGTCATTATGAAGGAGAAAATCAACAACAGTCAGAAGTTCTTGCTTCAGATCGATGAGTCCACCGATATTAGCGGCCACGCACAACTTCTTGCTTACATTCGATACATTGATGGAGATGTAATTGCAAGAAATTTCTTTTTTTTTATGCAAAGAACTTCCAAGCGAGCCACCGGTGAAGGAGTATTTCGTGTCACTAATGAATATGTGTTACACAATGAATTAAAATGGAAGGATTGCGTTAGTGTTTGTACAGAAGGAGCCACTTCTGTGACAGGCCGTGTTAAAGGATTTGTAGCTAAAGTACACAAAGTAAATCCTAATATATGATGCGATCATTGTCTCATTCACCACGAAGCCATTGTTGCTAAGTCTTTGCCATCTTCTCTGAAAATTGTGCCGGACGAAGTAGTAAAATTTGTGAACCTCATCAAATCGTGGCCCATAAATTCACGGCTTTTTTCCGTTTTGTGTCAGGAAATGGAATCAGAACACACTACACTCGTACTACATACGGAAGTCACGAATATTTGAACTTAATGAGGAGGTACCTGCATTTTTGACTGTTGAGGGGCATGAGTACGCGGATTTATTTGCAGATGATGAATGGGTATGTAAGTTGGCATATCTTTCCGATATTTTCGTACACTTGAATGAGCTGAACAGAAAGGTGCAAGGTAGGAATGAAAATATTCTAACTAATATAGATAAGATACAAGGATTTGTAAATAAGCTGAATTTGTGGTTACAGAGAAATACAGATGGGTCGTTTGAGATGTTCCCGACTGTATGGCCACTTGCTGACGGCAATAAAATGGTGATGGACACAATTAAAGAACATTTAGAAATGCTGCAGCAGAAATTCAATAAGTATTTTGGAGAGAGTACAAGATTTCAACTGGGTTCGTGATCCATTCATTGGGAATTCCGAACATCTTCCGATTAATATACACGAGGAACTCGCAGATTTAAAAGCAGACAGAACATTGAAACTAATACTTCTCGAAGTGCCTTTCGATGCATTTTGGTTGGCAATAAGGAGTGCATAACCGGCTATCTCTGAGATGGCAGTTAATGTGTTATTGCCATTTTCAACTACATATTTGTGTGAACTGGGCTTCTCGATATTGAGAGAAATTAAGACCTCAAAGAAGGAGTGGCTCAAATACATCGATGAAGAAATGAGACTTGCGTTGTCAATGATTCCACCACGGATCAGTCGCATGTTTGCAGCAACGCAGGCACAAGTATCACATTGAAGGCATGAGTAGAATTACTGTATTTACTTTAATAGTAATAGAAGTGTATTGTCTACACTCTACAGTGAATTAAAGTTCATTAATTGTTAAAAAACGCACAAGTCGATTTCTGTTTAATGATAATAAAATAACAATATAATAATATTATAGTAATAAGCTGATCACATGTATTTATATTAATTGTCTGATATGTGTTTTTTGAGGGGAATAACATTTTGGTATGCCGTGTTGAGTCATGGATACTTGATGGTGTGCCGCGAGTAGAAAAAGGTTGCGGAACACTGGACTACACAGTAGTATATTCAAGAAGGCACAACTTTCATACCCAGAGCTGTGAGAACCTCAAATTGTACAATAACTTGGCAGTTCATTTCATGAATTTGCAATTTGTGATGTAAGGCTAACAGAGACATCCTTGAAAATAATTGTCATCTGGGATGTGACACCCTGCAGTCTGTTGGAAGGTTACCAGCATTTATGAGGAACCTACTGGCTCTTTCTTCAGACAGATATATATATATATATATATATATAT